AATAAATATTAGTAAATAATAGCATTAATTTTTGGAAAACAAAAGCTTTTATTATATATAATTATCCTATAATAACAAAAAACGGGTTATTTTATATAAGCACCCGAAAATTGAAATCAAAAATCGAAATAAAAATAATATTTTTAAAATCCACGTTTTTGTAGTGGAGAATAATAATTAAAAAACAAAAATTTGAAAAACGAAAAACGTGGGGAGCTAAAATACATAACAGTAACAGTATGTGTGCTCATGAGAATATGAGTATGTACATCTGTAATTGTATCTGAACGTGGATGTGTATGTGGAATATGTTTGTGTACATGCATATGTATGTGGATGTGATTGTGCATGTGTATGAGTAAGAAATTGTGTACATGTATGTGCATATGTACTGTTATGTATTTCATGCCCCCCACGCTTTTCGTTTTTCAAATTTTTGTTTTTTAATTATTATTCAAAAACGTGGTTTTTAAAAATATTATTATTATTTTTTTTTGCACTCACTTCCAAAATCTCAATTTTTTCACTCACTGTACACAAAACTTTTCAACTGACATGTGACACTAATTTGAAATAATCAAATCGACAACAAAGGACAATCGCGAAAATATTAATTTCTCTTTAATTTTATTTTACTTTGTATGTCTTTTTTCTCCTCATTTTCATGCATTGTCATCCAATTCTGAACTATGTGCCAAATTTTAAGTCTGTAGCTAGTCGGGAAGTTAGTTTAAAATTGATTACAAAATTCCACCCGAACAGATATACACGAAGGCAAGTTGATATAAACGTGGTAATAAAGAAAGTACTCCTATATGACTCTCTAAACCAGGAGACGCCAATCTTTTTTGATCATCGACCCCTGAAAATTTTATAATTCTTTTATCGACCCACTTTATATAAAAATGATAAGAAAAGAAACTTACCTGTTTTTCAAATGTTTTAATTTATTATGATAAATTCAAATTTTCACATGAATCAATGAAAATATATGCTTGATGACGCTTGACCAGATTATCATATTTGGTTTATAATTTGTTACTTTCAGCCTTAAATCGCTTTAAAGCTCCACATTCAATTTATTTTTTCGGCTTTACTAAAACTGTATTAGCATTTCTTTATCTACCACCTCCTCCCCATCCCCTCCTTCTCTTAACTAAATTACTTATATTTCTAACAAATGTTAACATTTTTAACTTATAATCTGTTAGAGAGATATTATTTATACTTACTTAAGGATTATAAAAGAAAAGAGTTTCAGAGTTTTTTTTTTTTTTAATTTAGTAGTATAATGCAAAACAATCACAAGTCACCAAGTAGAAGTGTATAAAAGTTAGTTTCTAGGGAGAAAATTCTAAGATCGCTTACAGATTTTTATTTTAGGATTTTTTTGATGATTTGGAAACGGTGTTTAACCGAAACACGAAATATAAATCCAATTTAACATTTTAAAGCAAAGGTGTTTTGCATTTTTTTTTTTTTTAATTTAGTGACATAGAGTAAAATAATCACAAGTATATAAGTTGTATAAATTCTGTTTTTTGGGAGAAAATTCTAAAATCTCTTTGAGACTTTTATTTTAGAATTTTTCTGATGATTTGGAGGTTATGTTTAACAGAAGCGCAAAAATAATAATTCAAATTAATACAAAACAGATAACACTTAGCGTTATTTAAAAATGTCGCTTTTATGTTGCAGTTGAAACAAATTTGCAAACTGGTTAAAAAACGTAGAAGCCTGTCATTGTTTTACAATTAACCCTTTAACCGGTGATGGCTGGGAAACGAATTCCGCATCCGGCTTGCACCGACCGCAGTGCTGACGTGAAATATCCTCAGTGGTAGACGGATCATGAGTTAGAGTCCCCTTGCCGTCAGGCTAACCGTGGGAGGTTCTCTTGATTTTTCTCTCCATGTAACGCAAATGCGGGTTAGTTCCATCAAAAAGTTCTCCACGAAAGCAAATTTCTCCCAATGCTTGATCTAGGAGTTCCCTTGTCTTCTGGATTTGGTTCTAAATTACAAGACTACGGAGTTGAATATTAATAGTTGTAAACCCAAAATTGGGTCTGCTGTTCAACGATGGTTATAAAAAAATATTAACCCTTTAGAGCCTTGATGGCGCAGAGGATAGAGCGTTCGCCTTCCAATGAGGTGTACCAGGCTCGAATCCCAGCGATGGCTGGTGGATACGAATTCCACTCCGGCTTGCACTAACCACAGTGCTGGCGTGAAATTTCCTCAGTGGTAGACGGATCATGGGTTAAAGTCCCCTTGCCGTCAGGCTAACCATGGGAGTTTCTCGTGGTCTTCCTCTTCATGTAACGCAAATGCTGGTTAGTTTCATTAAAAAGTCCTCCACGAAGGCAATTTTCTCCCAATACTTGATCCAGAAGCTTCCTTGTCTTCTGGATTGGGTTCAAAATTACAAGGCTACGAAGATGAACATTAGTAGTCGTAAACCTAAACAATTGGGTCGGATATCCAGCCACAGTTATAAAATAAAATAAAAATTAACCCTTTAATTAGTTGTTTTTACAGTAACCCCGAAAAAATAGACCAAAGTTAATAACTTTTGGTTTAATGATTGGATTTTTATATACTTAGGTGTATTATCTTTATTGTTTAAGAAATAAAACTTAAATATGCCCAGCAATTAGCGTGGCGATATTTACTAAGGTGTATTATCTTTATCGTTTGAGAAATAAGACTTAAATATGCCCAGTAATTAGCGTGGCAGTATTTATTAAGGTGCATTATCTTCATCGTTTGAGAAATAAAACTTAAATATGTCCAGTAATTAGCTTGGCGATAGTTTTACTTACAAAATCAGATACAAGAAACGTATTTCTTTGAATTCACATTTTGTTAGACGGATTCGAATATTTGATTCTCAAATATTAGAGAAAGGTAAAATTCGGGAAACTTGGTCTCAAAAGTTCAAAAAAGTGCGCAAAAAATTAAAATCTGCAGTTTTTTTAAATTTATTTATTATGATTTTTTTTTTTTTTTTTTGGAATATCTCTCGAACTATATTAGCGAATTAAAAAACATTTGCACACAATTATGGAATTCGTTTATCAAAAGATTAAATGAAAATAATTGTTTATAATTTTATTACTGTTTAATTTAATAATAATTTAATGCTTTGTGAATTGTGTGGAAGGTAAATTTCGACAACTTTTTACACTAAGCATTTTTGAATGCCTACATTGAAAAGTTTAGTCCAGCAATCAAATAGTTTTCGAAAAATAAAATATAAAAAGTAAAAATACTACTTTTTAGAAATTTTATTCCTTAACTTTTCAACCTATTTCGTTCAAATTCTACGTTTTTGAATCTAAAAGTTTATAAGGCAAAATTTTTTGATTAAATGAAATAATAAATTATAAAAAACTATTTTTAACAATTAATTAATTTATTTATCTTAGGATAAGATATCTTTGTAATTATCTTTATAATAACTATCGCGCAAATAAGGTAAGGTATATTTATTCAAAAAGAATCGTGTTTTTCAGAAAGAATTTTAAAATGCCATCTGCACTAATTAATTAATACTTTTAAAGTTCATACCCAACTATGAATATTATATTCCATTATGAGAAAATCAGATCATTAGATCGAAAGTTATTCGGGTATTTTCTTTTTTTCTAACTACTTTATTTCTTTATTATTTATCTGTTTATTTATCTGCTCAATTGTTTGCTTATTTTTTTAAATTTAATTATGTATATTTTGATATGCTGATTAGAATAAATTGTAACTAATTTTGTATAAAGTATTAATACGCGACACATAAACATTGCTGTTGTTCAAGTAATTTTCTTCTTGATTGTTGTTAAGTAATATTAGACTTCGCAGTTAATACTGCGCCTGCGCAAATTAACCAGTATTGTTAGAAATTAAAAGATGTTCCTTTCTACAACAGTTTTTTGTAGTCTGCAAATTACTTTTATAACCTAAACATTACCTTATGTTTAAACAATCTAAAAAATATCAAATGTAATTGTATCAAACATTAAAATAAGAGCATTTTATGAAATATAAATAGTCTATGCAAGTTAAATCGTTTTCAACAATTCAATCTTTATTCAATTTAAATCTTTAAATTTAAATAAAATTTCTTGCGAAATAGAGAAATTATAAATTCCTTAATTATAAAATTTTTAAACGTTATAAGTTTACTGAATACCCACTTTAAAAAAAAAAAATGTTTACTTATATTTTTGTAATTCTTGTCAAAAATGAAGTCATTTTAAGTTTAATCCATTTTTTTAAACATTCATTTTGAGCTATATTATCCATTGCCAATGAGCTATATTGTCCATTGTCAAAAATGGATTTTAAATAAATTGGAAATTTGACTTACTTGGTTCATGCACCTTGTCCGTCGAAATTAATGCTTCAAAATTACTGCCAACCATAACCTACTCGTATAAACAGCAATATATAAGGAAAATATGTGTGGTAAAAAGTGCAAGATACTATTGCTTGATTCGTGAATCAAAGCTTACAAAATTATTATTTTATACTTATAACTAATCATAGCACATTTTCAAAAATGGTAATGCATAAAATGAATATATTCACATTACATAACACAATTACTAATATATTGTGGTTTATTATTTTTAATACTTTTTTTAATAAAAATTAAGTAAGATCATCCTTGACATTAATTGAATTCATCATCTTTAATTAACAAATATTATTGACTTTAGATTTTTAAAATTACTTGTAATTCTAAAATTTTACCAAATTACTCTTCATTTAAAATTAGATACAGATTGATCATTAATATTATGTCATTTAAACGCAATTGAAATTCTTATCACTTTGATAAGACCAGAGTGGTCTTATTAAAGTGATTATCATCCCATTACCATATCTACTTTATCAATATGAATTAAAAATTTGAAGAAAATATAATACATAGACTTTTACACAAAATAATTTAAATATGTGAATTTTGTGGATTTGAATTTTTTGATTACCAAAATACAAATTTTTATCAGAGTTTAATTTTCAAAACTCAGCATTTATATAAATTAAATTATTAATTTCATATACATAGAAACACATTTTGTTTTCTCGATTTTTCCAAACCATGCCTTTATCACAAGAAAATCGTTCGTATATTTACAAAACATTTTGATAATACTTGGTTGTGAATTGAACAATTTAAAACGTATCAATTATCACAATGAACTCGTCTTTTACACCAAAACAAGTTTCCTATAAATAAAAAGGAAATAAAAATATTTGAGCTTTTAGGAACATTTTTAATAGTCACTTCCAAGTAAGCTTCTTGTCAGTTGCCAAAACGAAAAAGAATTAGTTTCAGTTTCAAAAGAATTCATCGTTTGAAGAACACCACTGATTGTTTCATGATTTTCTAAAGCATCTAGAATGTTTTTTAGAATATTAGTTTGCGAAATTTTACTGTTTGAACTCTCCAACAATTGCTTCAATACGCTAGACAAATCGTGAATCATGTTTAGTTCCTCCGAGCACGTTCTTTTATTGTCATTTACAAGGAATATAGTTTTTTTTCTCATAAGACCATTTTCAATCACCAGTCTGTCATGAACAACAAATATATTATCTAAACCAAAACAGTTATACCGTAATCCTTGAAGCAATATGTACCTAAGAGCTTCACAAACATCTGTTGTCAACCGAATAAAAAATATGTCTGGAATCATTTGATTTCTGTTGCAAAACACATTCCACAGTTGTTCTAGAGAAGCATAAGGTTGGTCGTAAACATAAAAAACGTTTTCAGTCGTTAGATCTTTCACAGTGGCACAAATGCACATTATGTTTTTATGTTGTGCTTGCACCCATTTTTCATGGCTATATATTAGCTTTAGATCTTCCACTGGACTATAACCATAAGAAATCATGTATTCCTGTCCATCTCTTAAACACATCACACGATATGTTAAAGCTCTGTGGAAGAAATTTAAGCTGAAAATATCGCAGAAAGGAGCACATTCTATTTGTTCGAAATCCATTGTTGTTAATTCAGTGATATACTGTGCTAAACGCTTTGGTAATGGAAGTTCCATAACACATGTTGCTAACCTCCGTAGAGTTATGCATTTCAAAATAACGTTCTTACAAAGTTCTTCTAAGCTAAATGTTATATTTTTTGATTGAGATTTCAGAAATGGAGAGTAGCAATGTACTCCAGGACCAGCACTTTCAAAAAGTACCTCCATAAGTTAATTCGTCAATGTTTCATTAATAAAACACTCTCAACCGATGCTTTGAATGAAATGTCATAGTAAGCCATTAGGTGAAGACCCTTCTACCTGCTTTGGCAGATACACAAAAGTTTGGTGATTACGTCTCAGTTGGCTTTTGTGTTGTAAGTATTAACGGTTGCGTCACTTTCATAAAGCACGTGCTCCGCTCTCCTCTTCAAGTTCTCTAAATAGAAAGATTCGGCCAAAGCCCTTGCGCAGTTGGCAAAGGATGGACAGATAATCCAAAAGATTCTTTCGTCGGCAATCCAGGCATAAACACTGTCTCGATCTTAGAAAAAGAAACATCAACAGGATTATGCAACATGTTGTGGTTTCGTCAGCATTTTTTCTTTTTTCAAGGATGGTTCGGAGTATTTTTTATTTTAAAAACGATTTTTGAAAAAACGCTTAGTTAGTTGAAGACTTTGAAAATAGAACATTTCAGTAAATGTTTTAAATATTCAATGAAAAGCATTTTTTTTCAGTAAAGAATTTATTTTTTAACACTTTTAACTAACTGCGTTTTAGGTTACTTAACAACACATCTTGCCTTACAAAGAGTAAGATTGTGTCATTGACATCTCTGACACGCACTCTAATGTATTATGCTTATTGCAAGTACGGTTGTCGTGGAACCTTGGTCTTAAAGGAGCCCTATTTGAGTTTATAACAAGAAGTGAAATGTTTATTAATGATTTTAAAACAAAAATGTCAGAGAATTTCTTTTTTTATTTTTAAGTATTTAGAAAAATTAAATGAAATTTAATACTATAATTTTAATTTTACTGCTACTTTCTGTACATTATATTCTTTAAGATAGGATCAATGAAAAATTTTCTAAATGGATCAATTTTTTACTTTCACAAATTTGATTATAAATTCAAGAATTTTATCCTAGAAGAATAAAAAAATAAGTCTTAAATATAAGATGGAATTCAAATAAATAAGATTTACAGCACTTTTTCATGGACGCATATATGAATGAAATAAAGGTTTCCAAATTTTAAATGGCTTTTTTTCAAAACAATATTTTTTATACTTTCAGTGAAGATAACTTATACAATTTTCATTAGATTTGCTAAAAAGTATTAAAATTTCCATGGCATGCAGATTTTTTTTCTTTCTTTTTATTTTTCTTCTATGAAGTGCTAATAGTTGTTGATTAATTATTCTTCTGAAACACTGCGTCCAATAGATCGACAACATTTGGTGCAATTTTGTTAAGGTCGGAATTTTGTATAAGCTAGATGGGCTATAGCTTAGGGCCTTGAGAACTGCAGGGGCCCCCAAAACTGAAATATCCTTTTTTTAAACATTGCTCGCATCCCTTCAAAGTTTGCAAAAGCCCCCCGAAACCCTCAATACAGTTTTTTTCATTGTTCAGAAACAGAAAAAACTTTTAAATATTATTTAAGTCATAAAATTGCACCCAATGTTCAATATATTGGTTACTGGGTTTTAAAGGGTTATACAGTTGAACTCCGCTATCGTGAACCATACGCGGACCCAACAATAAGTCTACAATAAACAATGGTTCTCTACACTGAGAAAAAAAGCATATGATCAGGACTACCAGAATATGGTAAAATTTACCGTATTTTTAGCTTCATGGGAACACCAAAAAGGTTGGTACTTTAAACCGAAGCACTTTAGTGATAATTTTAGTAAAATTAACAATGAAGTATTGTTTTATAATGTGTGTTAATATTTGATAAATTTAGTTATCAGTTTTTTATTTTGTATCAGTTTTGCATTTTTCACTAAATGTGTGGTAATAAGAACTATAATTTTGAAAGCCAGAAATTTTGCTAAACCATTTACCATATGAACGAAAAAATTACCATATTAAAATTTTTTTACTAAAAATGTCTTTACCATAGAGTACGGTAATTTTGCCAGAATTTTATAAGCGTGTATCCAATTTCTTTGAGATCGTCGGGCTACCGAAGCGGGGGTGCCATCCCCTCCGCAGAGTATCAAAATTGTGATGGCATGTCTTCGGATCATCCTCCGGGATGTTTCCCAGACCGTCGCCAATAGCCCATTGTGCAGCTCTAGTGCGACGTAAATTAACAACAACCAATTTCTTTGAAAAAAATATTTTTTTAGCATAATGCTGGAAGTAATGATTGCGTTAGTACACAATTTCCTTATAAATCATTAACTAACTAGGGACAGTAAAATTTCCCAGCAACGAATTTCTTCTTAGAACAAAATTTTTATTAAAACGTTAAATAACATACAAAATATTCACCATATAATGAAGTTGAATAAGTTACAAGAAGTTATAACGAATTTTCCGACATCCTCAGATTTTTGGAATTATTCTGATGTTTATCTTCTTGGTTTTCTTTTTCTAGAAAATTACAATTTAAAACCGGAATTTCTTTGCGAGCAATTAGTTGTCTTATGTGCATTTGTTGAAATACCCGTATTATTTATTACAGCGATAATACGTAGCAATAGAACTCAATAAATAAAAGGAAATTACTAGCAGCCCCTTTATAATATCTATTAATGTATGTTATTATTCTTTTCATCAAAAGTCAAAATTATTTATTTTTGAACTTATCACATAAAACTGAAAATTTTGTATCTTTTATTTAAATAACTACTAAAATGAAATTTAAGTTCACTATAAACAAACTACCCAATCTAAACACACTTCTCTTCTACCCACTATGAGCGTTAAAAAGAAAACATTAGTAAACACTTGGTCGCAGAATTTTTATTTATCCTATTGTTAATACTTTTTTCATAATTTTTTATCAATTTGAGTCAATAGAAGTGAAAAATATTATATTTAGCATTTTTATAATTTATGGTTTTGAAATACAGTATGAAACACCGTTGTCTTTTTTTGCGTTAAAGGTAAAATCTTCCACACGCGGCTCTCTTCCAAACAATAATTTTTCAAATTTATACTTATTTCCAGTTATTCAGATATTGAAACAGTTATTCATCATTGAAGTTTCTTTAATTTACGAAATCAATTATTATTAATAAATTTATGAATACGAATGAACAAAAATTTTCAAATTACTTTTTTGGATTTCATATTTTAGTACAAATATAATCCAGATAATCTAACAGATTTTTTACTAACTTTTATACTGTTTTTTATAATTAAAAAATACCAAAATATATTTTAACTTGCAATTAGATCGTCAGAAAAAATATATAAAACGGACACCGATGTCCCATCTGCATCGAAGAGTTAAATAGCAGTTCAGACAACACCCCTAAAAAAGTTTACTATAACTGAGTTTCCGCTATATCTCGGGATCGTTATAGCAGGGTTGGGGTGTAATAACAGTTCAGACTTTAAACAGTTATATCACAAGCTCTTTTCATTTCTACATAACTGTAGTTTTTCTTTGCATAGCGTTTTCATAATAAGCACATACGACGCAGTCTAAAAGTGAGCAAAACTGTACCTAACAGTCGCGAATAACTGTTACAACAGTTATAAAAGTAGTAATTATTCGCTAAAAAACATTATTTATATAATGGCAGAGCCTTCAAAGATCAACCTCAAAGTTAAACACTTGTTTGACAGGTTCGAACATCGGAATTCTTCGTACCAAATACATTGACCTTTTGATTAACTCTAAGCCGGCATTTTTCTAATTTAAAGATGGGGGAAAGTTGGCGATTTCTTCTTTTTCGTTTAGAAATCATGAAGAGCTTAAGAAAAACTATTTATATAACAATTTTAACGTTATTGAATATTAGCAATTTCATTCATATGGCACAAAGACCTCACATATTTTTTATAGTTGCTGATGATTTAGGTGAGTAATTTCATGGCATGAATATTTTTAGGTTTTTAGTTTTTAAATAATATTATTTAATGTTTTTAGTCATTTTACCCCATTCACATCTGCACTTTTTTTGATGAAAAAAGAAGCAATTTTTTTTATTGTTTAGAACAAAAACGGCTTAAAAAAATAAAAATGTCTTTGTATTATTATTATTTTTGTTATTATTATTCTTTATTATATATTTAATTATTATTATTTTATTATTATTATTATATTATTATTAGTTTTATTGTTATTATTTTCCTTATTTTTATTGCTATTATTTCTATTGCTTTTTTTAATTATTATTATTATCATTATTGTTATTCATTATGATTATTATTATTATTATTTTAATTTTTACACAAGTAAATAAATTCTACTTTAAGTTGATATGATTTTCTTATGTTTTTTTTCCTAAATAATGAATTTCAATTTTAGATGACGATTATTATATATTCTTTCTTTTAACTAAATTCCATTTTCGATTTTTATACAAATTTTTCGAACAAACGAATTTCTTTTTTATCGTCTCTCAGAAATTAAATATCAGAAACTTAAAGTTTCATAGAAAGATCAAAAACATCACTACCATTTTTCATTCGTTACTACCTCTTTAACGATAATCGTTTGATAATATAGAGGTTAATGTTTTTTTTAATGAATTTAGCTGTTTTCAAAACCAAATGCCTCAAATAATAAAAGTTTAATTTACTTCATTAACACCTACTTTAGTATAATGCAAAACAAAAATTTGGATCATTCCTAATTATTTTAAATAAAAAACAGCTTTTCGCTAGATTCATGGTCTCTTAAATGACAAACGTTTAACAACACCTAGATTATTATTTTTTTTTTTATAAATCAAGCTCGTTTTAAAATCAAATGCCTCAAATAATAAGGCTTTATTTTAACTTACGAACATCCAAATTTTTATATCACAAAAAGAAAAATCAATTATTCCGAGTTAGAGCCGCAGTAGCTCATGGGATAGAACGTTCGCTTACAAAGAGGTGACTGGTTGATGCAAATTCTGCTCCCGGATCACACCGACCACAGTGCTGACGTAAAACATCCCATGAGCTACTGCGGGCTAACCGTGGGAGGTTTTCGTGGTTTTCCTCTCTGTGTAACGCAAGTGCGGGTTAGTTCCCTCAAAAAGTCCTTCATGAAATATAGTTTGTTCCAATGCTTGATTAAAGAGTTCCCTTGTTTTTTGAGTTAAGCTCAAAATTACAAGGCTACGATGTTGAGTGTTGATAATCTTAAACTCGGAATTTGAGCTGTTCAGCGCAGATTATAAAATTAAATAAATTATTCCGAGCTGTTTTTGATCCAACGCTTTTTCTTCGTAAAAATTCGTAATTGATTTCTTATGGATAAGCGTTTGACAAAATAATACGGTATTATCTTAACCCACTTGCACCCGAATTTATCTAGCATAGTGAAAACTCTGGGTATTCCTTAGTATTTTGAATCAAAATAATTTTTTAGATGTATTGGACTGATTTTAAAACCAAAGATTCAAATAATAAGCCTAATTTAAAGCCGTGGTGGAAAGCTGAAAATTACAAGGCTACGAAGTTGAGCGTTGATAGTCTTAAACTCAGAATTTGGGCTGTTCAGCGCAGATTATAAAATTAAATAAATTATTCCGAGCTGTTTTTGATCCAACACTTTTATTTCCGTAAAAATTCGTAATTGAGTTTTTAGGGATAAGCGTTTGACAAAATAATACGGTATTATCTTAACCCACTTGGATCCTAATTTATCTAGCATAAAGAAATCTCCGGGTAATTCTTAATATTTTGAATCAAAAAAAAGTTTTTTTAGATGTATTGGACTGATTTTAAAACTAAAGATTCAAATAATAAGCCTAATTTAGAACCGTGGTGGCTCAGGGGATAGAGTGCTTGCCTCCCAATGAGGTGAGCCGTGCTAGAATCCCAGCGATGGCTGGTCAATACGAATTCCGCACCAACCGCAGTGCTGACGTAAAATATCTTCAACTGTAGACGAATTATAGGTTACAATCCCCTTGCCATCGGGATAACCGTGGGAGGTGTGGGTTTTCCCCTCCATGTTATGCAAATGCGGATCAGTTTTATCAAAAAGTCCTCCATGAAGACAAATTTCACCCACTACTTGATCCAGGAGTCCCCTTGACTTCTGGATTGAGTTCAAAATTATAAGTAACTCAAATTGAGTCGGCTGTTCAACGACGGCTATAGTAAACAAAAATAAAACAAATGCGTCTAATTTAACACACAAACGCGGAATTTCTATACTGCAAAGATGAGAAAAGTGCTCTCGTTTATAAACTCGCAATACGTTTACATTTAATTCATCTAAACATTTTTTTTCTGCTAGCTACGCTTTATATATAATAAAAAATAACCTTTGCATAATTTCATATATATTATAGTTTTTCTTTTTATGTATATATACATACATAAAAAGAAAAACTATAATGTATATGAAATAATGCAAATGATATTTTTTTATTATATCTATTTTATTTTGGATTTTGTTTTCTTTTATTTTGGTTACATATTTATTTTGGTGAATACAAATGTTTTGCTTAAGTAAATGATATCTCCTCAAACAATAACGATATGTTGCTAACGAATTATTTTTCATCTATAGGTTGGAATGATGTTGGTTGGAATAATCCTGACATGAAAACGCCTCATTTGGATGAATTGGCTAGAAATGGTGTTATTATGAACCAGAGTTATGTTCAACCTATATGTACACCGTGAGTACGTACCTTATTTGTTTACTTTTTACACATTCAGGGATTCCCTACAAACATTACGAGTGACTAATTTTCAATCTGTTAAGCTTATATTTTAATGAAAAAACACTAAAAAGTTTACTATTAAAAACAAAAGTATTTTTGAGAAGACTTTTCATGATTTATCCAACAGTTAACTAATTTTAATATTTTTTTAAGGTCAAGAGCAGCATTTATGACTGGTTACTACCCATACCACATTGGGAGACAGGTTAGATAATTTTTTTTACATTATTTTCATGTATTTTGGCTTCTTTTTTTTTCATTTTTGCAATCTGTAATCTTTTTAAGTAAAGCAAGTTTCCTCCCTATACCCCCAAGATGTCTCTAAATTATCATAGTCATCATCTTCATTAACATCTGTATCTTTTCATATATGAATGTCCTTTACGATTTTTGCAAATTGTAGAGCATTTTGTACCTGATTTTGGACAATTTCAAGCGGTTCTACAACCTTTTGTGCTATCACTGGAAGGATATAGATTCACAATATGAAAATTTCTTTCAAAAGGAAAACTCTTGTATTTATTTTGTTTGAAAATTTAGTTCTTTGTTTTTGTGACCCCCTCATTTTTTTGGTGATTTATTAGTAAGTTGAAACCTGCGCTATTCATATATTTTTTATTGGTAGCTCTTGTTGTGCCTGCTTCTTTTTCTCTTAAACTGTTAAAAAATTTCTCGAAAAATATGGTTAAAATGCAATTTATTTATTTGTTACTTTATCATATTTGATAAAAACAGTCTAATAATTACTAAAAAAAAAAGATGATATTCGAATTGTTAACTGTAAAAAAAATTCGTTTATTGAATGACTGTTTTCACCTAATATGGTTAAGCAACCAAAATTTTATCCGGGCCAATTAGACCCCCCTTATGAAGCCACTTAGTTCCTTGCAGCTGTATACAGTGTGCCAGAACAATAACGGACCACCCTCTATAACTTTCGATCTGATTATCGATCTTCACGTTTTAGTACTAAATCTTAATGATTTTAGGGAATAACCTCAAATATGCTAATTAATTAGTACGGGCGATATTTTAAGTAACAAAATCAGACACAATAACGTACTTTCGCTGAATAAATGAACCTTTTTTCAACGGATTTGGATTTCTGACCCCCAAAACATAAGGGGTAGCCGCAATGGGAGAATTATGGTCCTCGTAATTTGGTCAGGAGACCGATCCAAAGTTTGGTTCGCTATTATTAATTTTACTCTTAGCGTATTTCGCCATATCTTGATCTATAAATTTCGCTATATACTTAAAAGTTGGCAGTTATTGTGTATGTTCCAATACCCTATACTCAAATTTATATTACATAAGTTTGCCACAACAGTTGACAAGCAATCAAAACAACTTATTGAAATCTTAAAATATTTTTCAATATGAGAGCTCTATTTTTTTAGAACTGTGTGGTCATAGTTTTGGAACCAACAGGAGTGTCTATTAAATACCCTTTCTTGTCTCAGAAATTAAAAGATCTTCATTATTCAACTCATATCATAGGAAAGTAAGTTTTGATATATTTTTTATTTATTTCTTATTTTAATTTTTATTTATTTATTTAATTTTTTACATAATTTGCCAATATAACTAAAATTATAATAGGTTTTATTTAATAACTTTTATTAAAAATTAGAATATTACAACTTAATAAAAACTTAATAAACTTAATTACTATAATTCTTTTTATGGAAATAATTAATGCAACTATTAACTGCAATAACTTTTTTTAACTTTACTCGCCAATAACTTTTTTACATAACTAGTCGCAATGATTAATAATTGCAATAACTATTTTTTTTAAAAATTTGAGTATTTTGACTCTAACTGCAATAACTTTATTTACGTTATTCGTCAATGTAACTAATTGTCATTATAATTTTATTTACATAATTTGCCAATATCACTAAGAATTATAGTAACTTTTTCTATATAACTCGTCAATATAACTATTAATAACACTAACTATTTTTATCTAACTAGTTAATGCGACGAATAAGTACCATAATTTTTACTGAACTCTTCATTAACTTTTTGTCGTAACTAGTCGTAATGATTAATAATTCATGTTACTTCTTTTTTTTCAATATTTGGTTATTATAACTAAGAACTGCAATAACTTTTTTAACGTAATTTTAAATATAAGTAATAGTCATCATACTTTTTTTTAACAAAATTTGTCAATAAAGCTTATAATTACAATAACCTTCTTTTTTAAACTCTTCAATAAACTAATAATTACAATTCCTCTTTTGGACGTCTAACTTGGACAGTTCGATGTCTAAAAGACCAGAGAAAACTTCACGATTATGTTCCCTGCTCATAAACATACGAATAAACAGTTCATAATAAGGAAGCGCCCCCAGCTGCGTACGATGGCATTTTCGGGCATGAGTTCCCCTGCAATTTCAATTTAGATAATGTGCCACAACTCCCCTAGATCTTTAGTGTATAATTTATGCGACTACCTGTTATATGTAACGTTTTTAAAATTGTAAGTTTCGACAAAAAATAGACAAAAAAAGTCATTTAAAAAATATATGTAGCTTGGAGATTTGAAAAATGAGCGACATAAAAATAACCAAAATCCGTTTAAAAAATTTCATGCAGCAAGCAGAAAATAAAAATTGTTCCTTAGTTATTTTTGTTATTTTTATAATAAGGAACAGTGTTTACATTTTAAGCAAATAAATCTAGAAATGAGAAAATCCGGATAATTCCTATTTTTCCAAAAACTCAAAAAGACTAAAAAAAATTTATGAAACTGAAATTAAAAAAAAAAATTTTTTAAATAAATAAAGTCCAATTATTTAAATTTTAATAGAAAATTTAAGTCAAGCCCATTTGAACTGACAAGAGACACTCTTTAAAATATATACATTATCTCCTTTATTATGAAACTTCAAGGAGAAAAAAAAACTATGGGAACTTGTAATTAATTGTGGCATTCACCCTGCTCTTGTTACATCTTGATCTTGTTTAAATAAGTTGTTCCCTTATGACACCATAAATACATATTTTTACTATCATTTTCAAAAATTAAGAGAGAAAAGTATACATATTGATTGTCACAAATTAATACTGCTCTAAGAAAATAAACATAAACACTACTGAAATCTGACAAATCATTATTGAGGAGGGCGGATGTGTAAACATCAAAACCTGTTTGATTGCCAGACAAAACTTGGAGAACTTATTATCATTTTTCATTTCTTTTCAGTTTCCTATGGCAATCAAACATGCTTTGATGTTTTTTTTATCTATCCTTCTGAAAGGTAATTGAGTGGATTTCTATAGCGTTTTTTTCTTCATAAAATAAGCTTTTATTTGGTGAATCCTTCGAAGCAATAAATTTGCAAAGTATGCGAAAATCCTATCATTTGATAAACAGTTATTCAGAGTTTAACTTCTTTATGTACTGTACAAATTTTATTTAATAATTTACATTACAGATGGCATCTAGGTCACTGTAACGATTCCTACACACCTACCCATCGAGGATTTGATTCATTTTTAGGATTTTACTATGCAGAGGGGGACTATTATACCCACACTATAGAAAGTAAGGCTCACTCTATTACATTTCTTTACTATATAGGGTATTCTTAAGGACAAACTTTTATTCTATGTAAATGCATATAATATAATTTAAGACATAAATACAAAAATAATGAAAATCGAAGTAAAAGTGTAAGATATAAAATTCCAAGCTGCGACAGCGCCAGGCTGCTAATGTAACAGCTGGAAAAAATTTTGAAGAAAATATTATAAGATGAAATAAATTAAGTTTTTACCTCATAAGAGAACTAAAAGTATTAGCGCAAAAGAAGAAAGCCAAAATCATTAACACGAAATTACAAACTGAATAACAAAGCACTACTGGAAATAGCAAAACTAACTGTCAAAAAGGGAATATATTTAAAAAGAAATTATAGTGGAAGCAGTGACATACATGGTAGCATCGTCATTCCCCTTTAATTTCTTTTGAAATATGTTTCCTTTTTGATAGTTAGGTTGCTATTTCCAGTAATGCTTTGTTATTTAGTATGTTATTTCGTGTAAATGATTTTAGTTTTCTTCTGCTAGTTTCAATTCTCTTATAAGGTAATAACTTATTTCATTTCATCTTATAATATTTTCTTCAAATACATGCAGATCTATATATATATATTCTATATAACTAGTC